TCTGCATCTGCATATCCCTTTCTTATTCCGATTCCGATTCCAATTCCGATTCCAAATCCGAATCCGAAACTCGAAAGTTGCAATTAAAAAGTTCCCTGGATCCGTTTTACAAGCGCATTAATTCTGTGCAACGCATAACTAATGATTTAATTTGTTCTCCCTGCTGCAGGCCTCAGTTCTGCAACTGCTGCTGCTGTGTGTGCTTGTGCCTGTGTCTCGTCCTGGGCCTCGGGCTGAATTCTGGGCCTGTTTTGCCATCATTAGCAACTTAAAAATGATTATTTGCAATGCAAATTCTCCGGCTACTGCTACTGCGCTACTCTCCCCTCCCATGGGTCCAGCAGTCCAGCGGTCTAGAGAATATGAAATGCTTGCCATCTGCATGAGAAATGCAGCAATTATGCCGGCCCCAGAGCCAAAGAACATGGACTATCAGAGCTAAGATTTAAGAGTTAAGGCTTTCGGTCGGATTGAAAATAAATATCATCTTTAGAGAGGTCCTGCAGCAATGCAGAATGCAGAAAGCTGGGGATTAGCATGAAAGATAGATGCTTAGAACAATTTGAATGCCACACAAAAGGAACTAGTTATATGTACTAGTATGCATACAAAAAATACACTGAAAATCCAGGGATTGAATGGAACATTTTATGAATCGAGGTGCTAAACATTCGCACACTTTCGGAGGCGGTAACCTCTCCCCAAAGATCTCATGGAGAACTTTTTCTATAAACGTAATAATGACCTGAGCATAATAGACAGCAACTAGACGCAATACACACAAAAATTGAAATACAGCTCCCACTGCACACATTTTGGGGCAAAATGGAGGGCCTGGCACTGGCACTGGGACTGGGACTGGGACTGTGGCAAATGGCAGCTGGGAGCTGGGAGACCGAGTGCCACAGCCGTACCATTTTCCACTGCCTACAACGCGGCGAGGCGGCCATAATGTCATTTAATTAAACGCTAGAGAGCAGTTGCCAGGGCCTCCTGGCTGTTGTTTGCCGTGAGCTCTTCGCCTCTCGCTCCCGCCCTCTCTCCCTCCCTCCCTCTCTCTCTTTCGCTCTCTTGCTGTGTAACAGTATTTCTTTTTTCGGCTACTTGTGCGCGGGGTCAACGGCGGCTAAACGGTTAACCAAAGTTAGCGGGAAGCCAGCTCCACAGCCACATAATTTGGCCAGAAGGGAGGACTGAGGACTGAGGGCAAGGACGAGCAATTTATGTTCATTTGCATAGATATTAAAAATTGTTAGGAAGTCATTAGTAGGCATCAGTCAAATGACGCAGCCTGCATATAAATTAAGCATAATTTTATTAGGAGAACTCCACTGGAAGGTCACCCACTTGACAAATGTCCTGGAGAGGCATACCCATACCCATACCCGTGCCCATTCTCCGACCGGAGGACAGCGGAGACAGGAAGACAGAAACGTGTGCTTGTTGTCGTATTAATTATTGGTTTTAATTGCGTTTTGTGTGTCCTTTTTTCTGGCCAAATCATCCCTTAAATACCTCCCCTCGAAATAGTTGGAATGGAAACCCAACCGAAAATCTCCGTAACTTTCGGACTCTGACCCATACATCTACACACTCGTCCTCGTCCTCGTCGTATATCCTCGTTTGACTTTGCCTTTTGGGGTTTTCGGGCAGTGGCAGAGGCGGAGGTGGAGGCGCTGCTCGAACAACCCCAGAAATTGTGTGCAATTAAATACTTTAAACCATAATGTATTTTTCACAAGTTGAGCAATGTTCAGCAATGTTGACCATTTGGTTGCGGATGTGGTCGGGGGGCGCGGGCGCCTAACCGAACTCCGACCTCCGCCTACGTCTCCGCTTCCGCAACCTCCTTGGTTCTCTTCAGTGTAAATTACATGCACAAAGAAAACTCATTTGTATTCGGAGACCCTGGACCCGGGACCCGGGACCCGAGACCCGAGGACTTCTAGCTCAACCCAACACTGACCACCGTCTCCCGCAAGTCAAAAGCTCAGCCACAAGCAATTTTATTATTTTGCTCCTTCCCATCCCCCATCCCCCTCCCACTTTTCCCCTATTTTCCCACATTTTTGGTAGCTGTTTAAAACACATCCAGAGATATAACTAATTCGAGTTGCGTCTGCTGTTTGCTTATCAAAATTTTAATTGCATTCTATCTGTATTTTTTGTGTAATTTTTTTTGTATTTTTTGTGTGTTCCGTTTCGTTTCCTTTGAGATTTTGTCCCGCGGCTTATCCATTTGTTATAGATATTGTTGTGTGGATTCGTTTGTTTGGTGTTCGATTGCGTTTTCCTTTTGGCCATTTCTCGCATTTCGGCGATGGGAATCCGCTAGAGAGAGACTTGGCGCCGTCATAGCTGGAGCTAACTCACGTTCGTTGGGGCTTTGGACTCCCTATCCTGCTCCCTCTTCTGCTCCCTCTCGTGCTCGCTCTCCTGCTGCTGCTCCTCCTTTCGCAGCCAACTTCAGCTGGCTCTCGCACTCGCACTCCCGCTTCCGTTTCCGCCAGCGTCCGCCGCTTCGGTATTAAATGGTGCGCGTAATTAGATTTTAAATTTATTGTGCTGTGTGCTGGTATTTATTTTGTCTGCCTTGGTGTGCATAACAATGCAATGGCTGCAATAAATAAATAAGCAAAACGTGAATGTGAATTCAATGCCTGGCGCTGCCCCCTCTTTCTCTCTATATTTTTTCTATTTTCGTCTCATTGTGTGTCTGTGTATGTGTGTGTCTGTGTCTGTGTATGGGGGGGCCTCTGGAGAACCACAGAGAGAGGCATGATCGAGTGGGGGAAAGGTGACGCCTGGCCATGTGTATGTGCTTGTGGCAGTGGCAGCTGAGGAAAGTTGAACGCTAAATTGAATTTGGCAATTGATTACCAGATTGATTGTGCTCGCCATAGGAGCGGAGCCTGCGATTAGGCGCATTACTGCCATAATTTGTATCGGATCCCGATTAAGATTTTACCTCAAATCAATTTGGAAATCCTTTTGCTCAAACTCTTAACCAGTGCGGACTAATTGCTCATCTTTGGCAAGCCCGTGCCACAAAACTGCGGCCATCCGTCGACCGATTCATGCACTGTCATGCCAACCGCAGATAAGTGCCACCGCAGACAAGACAGTGAGTGCCCTGCCGCGCCGTGTCGTCCAGCTCGGGCTGGTTGGCCTTTAAATGTACATAAATTCCGGGGCAGGCAGCGTGAGTAATGAGAGCTTAATAAGGCGTCATTGGCATATTTTAAAGGAAGGAACAGCAGGGGCAGGGGCAGGGGCACGAGCAGGAGGAGGGGCAGGAGCAGGAGCAGAAGCGCCGCAGTGTATGTTTCATAATTTACATATTGCGAAAATATTTATGCTCATTAAATATGCGCGCAATAAATGTGAGTGCAACTGCATCTGAAATTGTTGCTGGCTTGTTTGCAAATTTCATAAATCACCGATGTTAAAAGCGATGTTGTACTGCTGTTTCTGTTTCTGTTTCTGTTTCAGGGGCTTCTGAATCTGATTCTGCTCCTGCTGACGATGATGGGTTGTCTGTCGAAGCAGCGGCAGCGGCAGCGGCAACGGCAGAGCCAGTGCCAGTGCCAGAGGCGGTATCATATGCCATATCCTGTGGAACAGCATGGCACAGATAGGAAGTGGGTTATAGATGGATGGTGTCGCAGTAGCATTCACAACCATCTGCCTTGTCTTGTTTACACATGTTCCAAACGCAAATGAGCCGTGAAACGCTGATAATGCAACAAACTGACAATTGACGATTCAACACATTTGTCTCCATTTCCCCGGCGGCAGGAGGCGGCAAGAGGCGGCAGTGGCAGGCTTTCCTGGGCCTCCATTGAATTTTTGTAAAAATTAAGTTTATCAAAATTTTTTCGCAGCTTCCGCATGAGTGTGTGCCCCCGACTCCTGATCTGCATCCGGTCGGTTCGTCTGTCTCTCTCTCTGCGTGTGACTGCCCTTTGTTTTCCAGTTTTCCAGTTTGCCGGCCACAAAGTTCTGTTTACTTTGTTCCTTCACCTTCTCCTGCATCCCCTCTCCAATGCTCGATATGGCCGATAGAGTCATCCAATCTTTGAGCCCCAGCCGTCTCTCTCTCTCTCTCTCTCTCTCTCTCTACACATATACATGTATCAGTTTTCTCCCGCCCCGCTGTTCTCGCCGTTCGACAGCATTAAAATATGCCAATAACAGTGCACTGACGATGCAGGTTTCCCCGGCACTCAAATGATGCCGTCGCCCATCAAAATAAGCTGCCAGAGAGAGGAGAGGACTGCCACTGGCCGTTGGCCATGGAAGAGCTCATGCATGTCAGGGGCGGGACCGGGGCAACGCCCATCGGACAATGGCGCGAAATGTGTAACGGAAACCACAGGCGAGTGCACAGAGAAAGCACATAGTGAAAGGAGATCGAAGGATTGAGACCAAGTCCGGCTCCCGGCTCCCGGCTGCCGACTCCCGGCTACCAGGTCCGGGCTCAATAATGCAGACAATAAAATTTTAACGTAAATGTTGCGTAATTAAATGTGTTGCCCGCAGAGCAGCGTAAAACGAGATTGAGATTGTTTTTCCTCCATATTGTCCGATGAGAAAAGAGAGATATGCGATGGCCTGGTGAGGCAGCGGTACTCGTAAAGTCCTCACCGAATCGGTTTAAGGAATTCGCACCACAACTCACAGTGAATTCAGGTTAATGGAATTGAATGTCGCAGGGCAAGAAGCACTTGTACACTTTAAACTGAAGACTAAAGTCCCCATAGTAATGCTGTCTGTCTGTTATTTGGAATGGAATGCCACACTTTTAGGCGTTCGAGGAACAACCACAAGCTGCGATGTGGTCATCGCCATAATATCGATTAAGCCATCAAAACTTCGACCGCTTATTAATGCGCGTACATCAACGCTAAAGTGCGGTCATAATTCAAACGATGACACGGCCCTCTGTCCGGATATGGAGCTGCCTGCTGCCACAGTCCCCAATGAATAGTATCGGCACGATGAGGAAAGTGAATTTACTCAACCGCTGCACTCGGCTCTTCCTGTTTTGCATCGTAATGCTGACCCAGCTCTGTGGCCTGACCACATTCGTCTACGATTTGAAGCGGGAACGCATCTATCAGTCCAATACTCTGAGGGCGTATTCCATATTTGTTCTAGTGGTCCTTACAGCGACCGTTATGTCCAACGTCTACTATATGATCATCCAGGAAGCAGATTTGTCGCCCCTGATTGGATATTACGTTATTTTGGTGGTCCGTGTACAGAACCTAGTGTACAGTGGGGAGTGCGTGCAGCTGCTGAATGAAATGCTGAGGCTGGTGGGGCAACTGCAGACGATGGCCAAGCATCCGAATATCTTCCGAGGGCGGCATCTACTGCTGCTCGTGCTGGCCCTTCACACTCTCGTACGGTCTCTTATAGCGGCCATAGATCGGGACACCAGGCAAAATATCATCTTACTGCTCATACCTGCCGTTCTAATGGCCTTCCTGCTCCAGATCACGATCAACATCTGCCTCTTTGTGGTGCTCATTGCCTGCTACCAGGAGCTGCACCTGTGCACCCGGCGGATATCCAATGATGTGGCCAAGGTACGACGGGCTCAGCCGCTGGACGGTGTCCACCTTTCGGTGCTGGTCGAGCAACTTCGGGGTCTGACAGAGGAGCTGATTATGCTCCGATCGAAGGTGTTTCACATCTCTCGACGGCTCATCAAGCACTTTCGATTCCACTGGCTGTGCGCAATGGTGCACGGACTGATACCCTTCGTATTCATCACAGCCATCGAGCAGCGGGATCTCTATTTCATGACCACTTCTGCGCTGAACATAGTGTTCTACTTTACAATTTTTGAGATGTTGTCATGGGAATCTCGGTTGTCGCGCAGTTTCTGGCACTTTCACTTGACCAACTATCAGCCGAGCTTCGACAGAACGGTGAGTCATCCATAAGGATCAACAATTCCATTCCATTCCATTCTATATTCACAGATAGATGTGTTGATACACCAGGAAATCAGTGAGCACATCAAAATATCCGTCTATGAAATTACGCTGGACATGAAATTCCTCTTCAGAGTGCTATCCATTTCCATCTTCTTCATTTTCGTGAACACGCAGAGCTACTGGCACCGCCACCGTTAGCTGCCCTGCCAGATGGTATATGTGTCTATCGGTACATGTACCTCCTGAGATATATAAGCACTTTATTTCCATTTTCAGCTGTCAAATTAAAGTCAGGAAGACATTGTTCCTACTTTTCGATATTGTCGCCTTTGTCGCCTCGTCCTTTATTAGCATTTTGGGCTGTCACGCTATCGCAACTCTTGTGCTATGTTGTGCTCTGTTCTGCTCTGCTCTGCTCTGCTCTGCTGTGTACTGTGTGCCAGTGTCAATTGCACAAGTCAAAAACTGCCTCATAGATGACTTTCCAGATACTTTGCCGGCAATTACGTTGCCGTTTCATTGTTCCTCGAACTTGGGGCTCAAGCTGGGGGCTGAGGGGTTCGAACAAGCTTCATAATATTTTCACTTTTATGGCAGGCTACATAAAAGACGACAGCTCTGGCAATGGCAACGGCAACGGCAACGGGCAGCGCTGGCAATAGCAACAACATCATCATTATCAACACCATCAAAGCGCCAAGAAGGAGAGGTCTACCTCGGCAGGACCTGCTGCTCTGGTCCTCCTCCGGCCCGCACTCAATTGTCGTAAAATCCTAGCAAAAAAAGAAAAGAGCGAGAGAGAGAGAGCGAGAGCGAGAGTAGGAGAAGCAGCACAGCAAAGTGTGAGTGCGTAAATTTTACGCTCTCTGGACTCGGCCTGGGAGTCGGAGACGGAGTCGGAGTCGGAGTCGCTCAAGTGTCCTTCCATTCTGTGTCATAAAATTAACGCTTTATATGAATGAAAGCATAAGGCGCTCGATTTTTATCACCAAGGCCAACAAGATGGCAATGAACGAGCTGAGCTCCAAGGCACTCGTGGCTCATGAGAGCATAAAAAGTTTAGAGTTGAATTAGAAAGACGCCAAGAAAGAGGGGAAGAAGAGTGCTTAAGGATGCCCCCAACGAGTGTCTAATTATTTACGTGCAATGAAAGTTATGAATTGGGGGCACTGAATGTCAGCGATGACAGAGCAAACACACACAACTACTACGTGTACATACGTCCCAATACCCTTTGGAAAACTTCTCCACCCCATCCATAGCTCTCTGCCTTTTCTGTCAGATAGTCGTTACTCTGGGATTTTTTCAGTATAATACTGTAGACACACGTTGAACACACAAATATTTCAGCTGCTCTGGAATTGAATTTAAAATTAAACACACTTATCGTTTCTCTCAAACAAAAAAACTCGAGCGTGATGAACACCGATTTCAAATTGGTGCGCAAAACGCGCAACACAACGTGCTCCACTTCCAGCATAGAGCTCACCATCCACGGATCGCCGATGGATCCAGTTGCTCCTGGGATGAAGATGGTCAGTTCGGCTGTCAAACATCCGCTGGAGCACACCTGGACGCTCTGGTACTTGGAGAGCGATCGCTCCAAGTCCTGGGAGGAGCTGCAAAACGAAATCACTAGCTTCGACATGGTCGAGGACTTCTGGAGCCTGTACACCCACATCAAACCTCCATCGCAGATCCGATTGTGCAGCGATTATTCTTTGTTCAAGAAGGGCATACAGTGAGTACTCGCTTGTGAGATCCGCTTGTTCGGGCAGAGTTCTAGCTATAGTCATCCATCCAATGTCACCCCAGACCCATGTGGGAGGATGAGGCCAACAAGTTTGGCGGACGCTGGGTAATCACTACGAGCCGTCGCAGCAAGCTGGAGCTGGACAAGCTCTGGCTGGATGTGGTAAGTATCTCGAGGAAGAGCTTTGTGTCTGTTGGCTGTCATATCTAGCCCTCGACTCTCCCGACTGTCGACAGATTCTAATACTGATTGGCGAAGCCTTCGAGCACACTGAAGAAATCTGCGGCGCTGTCATCAACATGCGCGGCAAGCAAAGCAAAATTTGTACGTATCAATAGCCGCCTACTATTCCAGGACTGCTACCGTAATTCCCCCCCGCCTCCTCTTTGACAGCTGTTTGGACTAGCAATGGACAGAACGAGTCGGCAATCGTTCATATTGGACTGAAGCTGCGCGAAACGTTGAAACTGCCGCCGCTCCAGATGAAGTACCAGCTGCACAAGGACTCGATGACCAAACAAGGATCGTCGGTCAAATCGGTTTACTCCCTCTAAACCAGCCGGCCGGTCGGCCTACCCAGTGGCCCATGCCACTACCCGAAAATTTTTGGTCTAATTTTCGAATTTCTGTAAATACATAAAGTACATAAAGTTTTACCATGTGTAAAGCCAATACTGAAATGCTAAAATGCTGAAATGCTGTCTTTAAGGTGCGGTGTGCGTCCCGAGGGCTCCTTGGGCGCGGCTCTCTTCACGCTCCACAAAATGTTATGCAAACATATGCCGCACCGGAGCGCAAATAAAATGGTTTATATCCACTTACAGTTTGTACTTTTGGGTCGAGCAAACTAACTAAAATTTCGCTGCAAGTGCACAGTGACTGCAAAAGATAAACGTCCACTTGGCGCGCTTGGCTGGCCGAGCGAAAAACAAAAGACCCCAAAAGGGTCAACAATGGAGGATTGTCCGTGTCTGTATCCGTGGCCTGGTGTCCTCGTGTCCTGGTGTCCTGGTGTCCTGATATCTGGAACTGGCGTCGAGTGCCGGCGCAAACTGGAAACAATTGAATTTTGATGAAAGGCCACAAAAAGCCCGTGAAGACCATTCAAATTCATTCAAAATAAGAGCCAGGCCAGGGAAATACTCGTACCTTTAAGGATCCGGATCCAACCGAAAAATTTGTAAAGTGCCAACAACATTTCAATCAACATTCAAATGGCAACGGCACGTGCCACTCCAGGGCAGACGCAGACTGCAACTTCATTATGATCAACTTTAAGCTGACAAAACTCATCTCTAGGATTGGGACTCCCCTGTGTCCCAGCTCCCAGCCCCACGCTCCTCGTCGACTGCATTTTATGGGCTCAGGTGGCGGTAGGTAACATGGGGAGCTGTTAAACCGAAACCGCATCAAAACCGCACACGTCCCACATGGCATGCAGCTACTTTCAGCACTCGCTTTCAACCTCTCTGCCTCTCCGCCTCTCGGGCTCCCGGGCTCCTGGGCTCTCGGCCGTGGAAAAGCCACCTATCCGCCCACCCACATGCCGCGTTCTTACACCTTTGACATATTGCCAGGGCAGTGGCAGTGGCAATGCCGAAGGTACAGGTAAAGGTACAGGTGGGACATGGGACATTCACATATGTGGAGGCGGAGCACAACACCGCAAACTTTTTGCCCTTAGACGAAAATTTACAAATTAGTTGCTCGAAACGTGACATCGAGAATGTTGCAGTTGCACTTGCAGCAGCAGCAGCAGCAGCAGCATCAGCATCAGCAGTATCTGGCTTTGGTCTGTGTCTGTGTCTATGTCTCTGTCTGCGTCTGTGTCTGTGTCTGTCCCTGTGGCTGCTGTAATACCAAAAACTTTTGCAACATGCTACTTAATTAGGAAATAAATAAATTAGGCTGTCTTATGACAGATGCGAGTGTAAGTGCAAAAATTGGTCATCATTTGCACCAGGGGAGTGGAAGCATGAGCGAGAGCAGGGGAAGGGACAGGGGCATTTCATTTCAAATTCATTGCCTTTTCACTGCCATTCGAATGAAGAGCTCTGGCAATTGGTTATGTAGGTCAACAAGAAGCACTTCGGCTGGTTATCGATGTTACTTCATCATAAAAAATTATACATTATTCGTATACAAAGAGAAATGGAAATCGAAGTCGAAGCCGGGACCAGAGCCATCTCGATTAGCTCGGTTATAGTCCTCGGTATATCCTCCCATCGGCCATCGGCCATCGGCCAGCGGCCATCCCCATCTCCATCTTTCTCATGCATATATCAACACTTTACGGATAGCTGGGAGAAACCACACTCTGCTCCAGCTCCAGTTCCAGCTTTGGTTTTTATGGCCACACCAGCTGGAAGCTGGACAAGCACTATGGTGCTTGCGCTACATCCCCATCCCCATTCCCATCCCCATTCCCATCCCCATTACCATTCACACTCCATCTTCTCCATTGGTCCTGGGCTTTTGTATATTTTGTGTATTGTTTGGGGCTCTCGCGCGCTCGCTGGTTTCGGCTTTTGGTTTGGTTTGGTTTGGTATAGTATGGTCTTCCCTTAGTCTTGTTTTTCTTCTATTTTTTCCTGGCCAAAACAACACTACACAACATAAAAATAAATTGCACTTCTGACACTTGAATACAGTCAAAGAGGAGGATGGAGTGCGAGTGGGAGTGAGAGTTGGTATAGGAGTACCAGTCGATGGAGGTGGAGGTGGAGGTGGAGCAGCCTGCTGTTGCTGCTGCTTCTGCTGCTGCTGCTTGGGCAGCGACACATGATTAAGTGGAGTTTGCGGTTGGCTTTGTTCGGGGAATACGCATGTAAATCTATTTGGGTATACATTATCGTCGTCCAGTTGAAGCTTAACTTTTATCATATAATAAAATGTAATTTTCCAACTCGTAACTCTCTGGTAATTAGAATTTATAGCGAACCAAATCGTTTTTGGCACGCAGTCTCTGCAGTGAAGGGACTATTCTGGGGGATTGGAGGATTGGCTTGGAGGGGTTCTGCTTTTAGCATACAGTACATTTCATTCATTTCCCAGTAACAGAATTTCATTAGCCGCAAAACGAACAAAAGCATGCAACAATTTTTTGCTTAAGGAGATAATATTATATTATATGTATGTGCGATTGTGCTTCGTAGAGAGTGGAGTTTCCAGAGCATTTGAAATGAAATATTAATTTGGAAAATTCCGCATCAAGCTTCGTTTCGTTTCGTTTCGTTTCGGTTCGTTTGGTTTCGGTTGGCTCTTCACAAATTTTTATTATAAATTAATAAGAATTTATGACGCCAACAACAAATGAAACGAAAACGAATAACCCACACACGCACAAACACAGATCATAGCCGCAGGACTGGGCTCCTTTCCAGTGAATCACCTTCAAAGAACGCCCGTGCAATAAGAACGAAGGGATGTCAAGATATTTGTCTACAAATATTATTGCTATTCGAAATGTGTAGTATCTTGGGTTCTGCCTCGTTTCGGTCGGTTCTGTTCCTGCAAAAAATTCTTCTCTGCCAAAAATGCAGGAAAAAATGCGGCCCGACCCGGCCCGGCCCGGCTGGAGTTCGGCTACTGGGTGCTGACTGCTGGCTGCTGGCTCGGTAAATGGTAAATGGAAACGGTCGGGGGTCTGGGGTCTGGGCTCTGGGATCCTCCCTCAAGTTAACCTCGCTTCCATATAATTCTTAATATTTCGCTTCATAAATATGTAAATAAATGCCAACACGATGGTCGAGGAGAGGCCCGGGAGAGAAAAAAACAAAAGAAATCTTGGCCTGCGCCCCTGTAGCCGTACTTTGTTAGCCATTTTCCAGAGATGCGTCAGGACACAAGCACAGACAAGGACACGGATGCGGAGGCGGTGGCGGACAGAGATGCGATAGATGCGTTGTGTGATAGAAACTATAAAGGAATCCCACAAAAACCGCACGGAACTCGCAACGGGATATTAAGCACAAAGTTAGCCACAAAGATTTTCGGACGAAGCAAACTTAATGAAATAAAGCACTCGCTTAGCACACGCACACACACACACACACAGAGAGATCGAATAAATGGGAGGAGGAGGAAAGCAAAGGGGGGATAGGAGACAAAGACCCAAAACCGTAGACGGAACCTTAACCTAAAGCATAAGAAGTCAGTCATGAAAAGCGTACGTGAGCAATGAAAAAGTCGCAAACACTTTATTATACGCGGATGGGGTGCAGAAGAGTGGGGCACGGTGTGGGCATGGTGTGGCAGCCAGATCAAAATGCTACGCGCTGCGTATACGTAATAGGTTCTATGTAGATGCAACCTTCCGCATACACACTTACACACTTACACATTCACCCACACAGGGACACCCATTACTCATACGCTGCCGCGTCATTGTGCCGCAGTCCGAGATAAAGACCGAGAGCGAAAGACAAAAGAGGAGCGAGCCCAAGCCCGAGCCCGAACCAGACAAAGCACGGTGCCCAGAGGGATGGACACAAGCCGTACGGACACCACCGAGGATACCAAGGGCACGCAGCGATTCGAGGCAATGCACATAAGGTATTTTGGTATTTTAAACATGTGCCCAGCAGCTAATGCATAGTTTATGGGTCCCGGGGCCTACGACTATTGCCAAAAGTGTTGGTCAAATTTGGTCAGCGAATTGAGCGTCCCTCCGAGGCGCCTGTGGGCTAACCCCCCCTGGTGGAGCTTCAGTGCCCCTACTCCCAGTGAAAGCTAAACGTTTAAGCAAACTTTTATATCGAATATTTATATAGCATCGGGGATAATCTTTAATATGAGAAGATTCCTGTTTCTAATTATAGCCAATAAACCGGAACCCATTCGAACTTATGTCCATCTCCGGGTGGTGGTCTGTGGTGTGTGGATGCGAGGATGAAAAGTTTCTTTTAATTTCACACACAATCAATTTGTGTTTATTAGCTCATTATAAACATTTTAGAGCTCCTTCGGCCCCAGGCCCTGCTAAGATGACTCTTAGCAGTCCCCGCACGTGGGTCGTATACTTAATTTGTTTAGTCAACGAAGCAAATCATTGACCAGGAGAGGACTCCTTGGTCCCAGCCGTGCCATCGTCTGCAAGACGTGCGTGAAATGGTTAAAGATTTATGGAGAGGCTCAGACAAATTTTATAATTCGTACAACAACCAAAAACGAAAACGAAACGAAACCAAATCGAAACTACAAAGTGCACTAATTTGAGGTGTTGAAACGACAGGCAGAGGCTCAGGCAGAGGCACTGGCCGCAGCCACAGGCTTTTGATGTTCACCGAAGGGTTGAAAGGTAGCATAATCAAATCAAGGCTGGAGTCCCCAAAAGGGTTTATTTGTTTGACCCGCAAATCTCTTTGTTTGCCCGTTTTGAGGTCGACTCCCGTCTGACACCTTATTTGGCATTCGGAGCACACATCCACAACTTGAAGGGGATTTCGGATTGCAGATCCGCAGTGGGCTCTCGCTCGGGCTGCTTATTAACTGTCACTTGGCATAATTTAAATATATAATTCTGCGCCCCTATCAACTGGTTGGATTTTGGCTGTTGGCTGTTGGAGGCCTCATATTCTTTTTAATAAGTATGCAAATTCAAATGCTACTGCTACTGCCACGGACTACGGAGTGGAAGGAATTTTCACTCGAGCTCTGTTTTCCAAATTTCGCGTAATTTGAGTTTGAGTTTCTTG